GGAGTGGGCAAAGTGTGGCTGCATCTGACCCCAAGGTCTTCAAGATATCAAAAACATTAGGTTTTTTTGCTGGGGTGCACTGGAGTCTCTGCCAGGGTTGTTAGTGGGACCTCTTAGCCTCATAGGGCCCTTCCACACAGCCACATAACTCAGAATATTAAGGCAGAATAACCCACAATATCTGCTTTGAACTGGGTTACCTGAGTCCACGATGCCATATATCCCAGTTCAAAGCAGATAATGTGGGATGTTATTCAGCTGTGTGGAAAGGGCCACAGTAGCTGGATCTACACTGCCATATAATCCAGTTTCTGAATCAAGATTTTCTGCTTTGAACCAGATTATATGAGTCTACCCTGCCATATAATATGGATTCAGAAACTGGTTTATATGGCAGTATAAATGGGGTCATAACCCCACAATCTACAAGCTCAGAATTCCTCAGTTCACTAGATCAGTATTTCCCTTAATTGCTTTTTTGCTTAGAGAATATTATTTGTTTCATTTATATACGATCTTTTCTGCTCAAGGTGACAACCAAATTAAAATGAATACAATATAGCTAAAGGGTACAAAAGGTTAGCCTTAGAAACAATGTAAAACATAGTCTTAAAATAACAAAAATACAGTTAAAAGTATTACAGTATCTTATTAAAGCCCCCTATAAAAACAAAACAAAACAAAACAAAACAAAACAAAACAAAACAAAACAAAACAAAACAAAACAAAACAAAACAAAACAAAACAAAACAAAACAGGGAATTCTTAAAAGAAGTATTTGCTTCCCAGTGGAAAGAATTGCAAGAAGGGGGCATTTTAGTCTCCCAATGAAGACTGTCTCATGCCACCATCAAACATGCCTGTAAATATGATGGGGCTCAAAAAACTGGGCTTCTCATGAAGTTTTTTGTGGTTCAGGCAGCTTCATATGGGAAGATTTTCCAGACAGCCTGGAGGTTTCTAGCTCATTTTATAACTAGCATAAAGTCAGAGCTCCCTGTCCTTCATAAGGGCAGTCAAAGGGCCCCTTTGACCCGGCCACATAATCCAGATTATCAAAGCAAATAACCCACATTATTGGCTTTGAACTGGGTAATATGAGTCTACACTGCCAAATCATCCAGTTCAAAGCAGATAATCTGGGTTTTATATAGCAGTGTAGAAGGGGCCTTTGGTATATAGGCAAAGCTCCCTCAGGTCAAGGTGTATGTTCTACTCAAAGCCAGCCATGAAGCAGGACATTCCACAAATGCTTTCCTCTCAACCTGGCAGTGAAAACAAAGCAAAACACCAACAATAAGTAAATAAGTAAAAAAAAATTGCTACCTCACCCTGCTTTACAGTAGGGCTTGGCAAGGCTTAGGTTTTCTTCTTCTAAACATGGATGTAGAGGAATGCAAAATACATACCAGAGAGTCAACACTATATAGAGAGCCCACATGGTGTATTGGTTTGAGTGTTGAACTAGGACTCTTGGCACACAGAAGTCCCATGACCAACAGAAAATACTGGAAGGATTTGGTGGACATTGACCTTGAGTTTTGGAGTTGTAGTTCACTTACATCCAGAGAGAGCTGTGGACTCAAACAATGATGGATCTGGACCAAACTTGGCACAAATACGCAATATGTCCAAATGTGAAAACTGGTGTAGTTTGGGAAAAATAGACCTTGACATTTGGGAGTTGTGGTTGCTGGGATTTATAGTTCACCTACAGTCAAAGAGCATTCTGAACCACACTAATGATACAATTGGGCCAGACTTCCCACACAGAACCCCCATGACCATCAGAAAATACTATGCTTTCTGATGGTCTTCGGCAACCCCTGTGACACCCCCTTGTGACCCCCCACAGGAGTCCCAACCCCCAGGTTGAGAAACACTGCATTATAGTGTCATGAGGTTTATCCTACATTATAGTGTTATTATGTTTATCCTACAACTGACATTTGTTTAATATTATCATTACATCCAACAAACTATATATTGAAGAAACAGGTAGCTGTGTTAAAGTTTCTTTTTAAGGTCTTTGTTAGACAAATTGTACTAAACATTCATATACATAACAGTCTGAAGCTGTTACAGGCCAGCCAGGTTTTATCCTGAATTTTTGTTAAGACTGTTGATGTATTTGCTGTGTAATATATTCAGAATATTCCTTAGCAGGTGATCGCAACACAAGGCTATTGTTGGTCCCCTGACAAGACATTTCCTCTTACTCCTAACTATCAGTCTCTGCCTACTGACTGTGCTAATTAGACAATAATTAGCACCCTATCTGTACACAGCAACACCTATAACTGCATGCTGACATTCATTATTGATCACGCCAATTAACACATAATTTGTTTGCTGATTTTGACTTGGGCCACATCCAAACAGGTTGTTCCCCTTTTGATTAATTGCTTTCAGCTTCCAGTTGGAACAATCAAGTTTCTATTTGAAAATATAACTCCTCTAGTAGTATATGGATGAACTCCAATTTAAATAGTAATGGGTCTGAGGAGGCCTGCCAATGAATCTGGGGTGAAAAAAGGAAGTAGCTGGGTTGTTGTGTGTTTTCCGGGCTGGACGGCCCTGTTCCAGGAAGTGGCTATTCGTTCTGCTCATCCTTCTTCCTCTAATAAGGTATATAGGGGGTAGGAATGTTATCCCACATAGGGGGAAAACTGGGTCTTGGTCACTAGCTGGTGTCACTAGTAGTGTCTCAGCCTTTATGACAAGGGCTGAGATTTTAAGATGTCAGAGGCCCTTTCCATACATCTGTATAAAAACTCACATTATCTGCATTGAACTGGGTTATAAGGCAGTGTGGACTCAGATAACCCAGTTCAAAGCAGATATTGTGGATTATCTGCCTTGATATTCTGGGTTATATGGCTGTATGGAAGATGCCAGAGTTGAAGGTATGGACCTTCTAGCAGGCAACTAACAAGCCTGAGCTATTATTGCTCCAGCATAACTTCTAGATTCTATTAAGATCCTCGTGAACCCCTCTGACCTCAAGTTCTCATGTCTCACTCTGACTTTTCACCTCTTTCTCCATTTGTTTCCTGCTCCCCATTCTCATTTTGTAGCCTTCCAGTTTCCTAGGACCAACTCCGCCATGTTTACCTTAGCTCTTCCAGAGATTGCCTGCGTTCTTTGTTCCACCCGATGGCTAGCTGGGCACCTGATGTCTTGGGGGAGGCAAGAGCTTACCAGCACCCTAAACCTGCTCCCTCCCCTGATGATGAGCAGCTTCAGTAGTCAATGGAAACTTGGGGCCATTGTGACATCAGAGCCTTATGCTTTTCTGTATACATCTGTATGAGAGGAAACCACCCTGTGAGATAACTCTCCATATTTGCTCCCTTCTTGTTCCTTTTGGTCCCTGTCTTACCTTTAACACATTCATTGCTCCAGTCCAGTTACTCTATATTCACTCTTCAGACTTTGTTGGAGCTTCCAGCAGAAATATACAGCTCCTGAAATGACTTGTGATAGATGTCCAAAATATCTGGATAATTAGACTTTCTGATCAGTGAAAGTCTGTTTCCATAACGAAAGTGTGGTGTCAGACTATGAAGGGACTCACTTGTTCCAATTGAAAGGATCAATTATCTCAATGACTCCAATAATTGAAAAAGAACCACTCATCTGCAAGTTAAGAGTTGCACCCTGGCAATGGGGATAGGAGTGTACAAAAGCTGTTTTGTGGGGATTGGAGGGAGGGCAGAGAACCAGCATAGGAGTGCTAAGGCAAATGCGTGTGTGTGTAGGTGTGATAAAACATTTGTGTGCCATGATCCAAGTAAATCAATGCAATTAATGAACATCCATAGGTGTAGGATATAAGGCAGTGTGGACTCAGATAACTCAGCTCAAAGCAGATATTGTGGATTATCTGCCTTGATATTTTGGTTTATATGGCTGTGTGGAAGGTCCCAGAGTTGAAGGTATGGACCTTCTAGCAGGCAACTAAGAAGCTTGAATTTTCAGGACATTTCCCCCTGGCTATTATTGCTTTATTAGACTTTAATATAAAGTCTAATAAAGAGATTAGTGTAACTATTAGAATAGAGGAAAGGAAGCATGAGTTAGAATATTCTTAATGTTAATACATGTACCAGAAATAAAGAAGGAAAGCAGAAAGGAAGTTTTTTGCAGACATAAAAGAAAGCAAATATTACTCTACCTGGATCTAGGAAAGTCTCAGAGATGGTACATCCTTCAAATACTCAGTGAATGCCTTAGAAACCAACAAATCTGTGTAACAAAATTCTACAGCTATATAAACCCCATTTTCCCAGTTTCCAACAGACCTGACAACCTCTGAGGATGCCTGCCATAGATGCAGGCAAAACTTCAGGAGAGAATATTTCTGGAAAGATGGACAGACAGCCCAAAAAACTTACAGCAACCCTGTGTAACCAAATTTTGATGGGACTGTGCTTTCTTTGAACTAGCACAGACTACAGACTTCAATGTCTGTGCAGCAGTTAATCTGATGTAACTTCAAGTCTTTACTTCAAAGAAGTTGCCCAAGATGTTGAACTTTGTCCCAAAAATAGATTCAGCACCTTGGATAGCTGCTTTTAGGTTCAGATTAAAACCCAGAGGGGATTTGCCATCCCGCTGACATGGAAACCCTGGTTCTACTGCTTAGAACTGAATTTATGAGTAACATAGCACCACCATAGAGTATGAAAGATATTTGTCATATACTCTTAAATTATGCCAGAAAAACGATATTTTGGTCCAGTATTTCAACCTCCATGTTTGCCTCTAATTCAATCACTGTCAATTTGGTTTTCTAGCAGCAAGGAAGTGAATGTCACAGAGATTTATACAGAACCACAATTCTCAGTGTTTTTTACTTCAGTCAGGTCTCTCAAGAGAGATGGTGCCATCTGAATGGAGACAGCAACCTTAAGGAGTCAAGATTGTCCTTATTCTTAAAATTATGAAGGGGGGAAGTCTGATGAAAATTGTATGTTAGCAAGAAAACTCAACGACAGTTCTGTGATATAATTAATATTTTATTTTGGGAAGTGACTCACCAAATTCTAAAGTAATTGATACTTTAATTTCCCACATATCAGACAGCTCTGCTAATATTCATCCCCTTCCTCTTCTTCTCCTTCTCCATCAATACTATCTGTTCCCACCTCTTCGTAATCCTTCTCTAGGGCAGCCGTGTCTTCTCGTGCCTCAGAGAACTCGCCTTCTTCCATGCCTTCTCCTACATACCAATGGACAAAGGCCCTCTTGGCATACATCAGATCAAACTTATGATCCAGCCGGGCCCAGGCCTCTGCAATGGCTGTGGTGTTGCTTAACATGCATACTGCTCGTTGTACCTTGGCTAGGTCTCCACCAGGAACCACAGTGGGGGGCTGGTAATTGATGCCCACTTTGAAGCCTGTGGGGCACCAGTCCACAAACTGGATTGTTCTCTTTGTTTTAATGGTGGAAATTGCAGCATTGACATCTTTGGGCACCACATCACCTCGATATAAAAGGCAGCAGGCCATGTATTTGCCATGACGGGGATCACATTTCACCATCTGGTTAGCAGGTTCAAAGCAAGCATTTGTAATTTCAGCCACAGAAAGCTGCTCATGGTAAGCCTTCTCTGCAGAGATGACTGGGGCATAAGTGGCCAGAGGGAAATGAATGCGAGGGTATGGCACAAGGTTGGTTTGAAACTCCGTCAGGTCTACATTAAGGGCACCATCAAAACGCAAGGAGGCTGTGATAGAGGACACGATCTGGCCAATCAGCCTGTTCAGGTTTGTGTAAGTTGGACGCTCTATGTCCAGGTTCCTGCGGCAGATATCATAGATGGCTTCATTGTCCACCATGAAAGCACAGTCTGAGTGCTCAAGGGTGGTGTGAGTGGTGAGGATGGAGTTGTAGGGCTCCACCACTGCTGTAGAGATCTGTGGAGCTGGGTAAATGGAGAATTCCAGTTTGGATTTCTTGCCATAGTCAACAGAGAGTCGTTCCATCAGCAGAGAAGTGAACCCTGAGCCAGTACCTCCCCCAAAGCTGTGGAAAATGAGGAATCCCTGGAGTCCGGTGCACTGATCAGCCTATGGAAGACAGGAAGCAAACCATAATACAGTTAGCTGGATCAAGGAATAGCGTGGGATGGTAATTGAGACCTCTCCAAAACCTCCTCAGTTGATATCATTCAGTCACTCAAAATCTGTCTGGGAGACCCACCAAGGAGGCTCCAATCCTATACGTACTCATCTGGGAGGCCCATGGATTACAGTGAGACTAAGTTCTTTGTACACTACATCAACAAATACCAGAATGTCCAACACACATCCCCCATCTGGAAGAACACTGTAAGAAGAATCTGAAATACTTGCACTCCAGCAAAGAGGAGATTGCTCTAGTCTAGTACCTTGAAAGAGCTTTCATCCCAGTAATTGTGTCATAACTGTAACACACTAGTTTTTGCATGGGCACACTCTAGAGCTGTTCCACAGACTGCTGCTTACCCAAGTGATCTCTGAAGATCATTTGTACTTATCCTGCCCTGCTCTAATGCCATACACTGAAATAGTGGCAAGTAAACTATGTGCATCTCCAAGGTGACGCTAATCAACAAGGGCTCCTCCCAGATCCCATACATGAGAACCAGACCTTTGCTTCTCCTTGTCTCCCTTCCTGCCAAACTCAATTACCAGCTTCCGGATCCTGTCCAACACCAGATCAATGATCTCTTTGCCAATTGTGTAGTGTCCACGGGCATAATTATTGGCAGCATCTTCCTTTCCGGTGATCAGCTGCTCTGGATGGAAAAGCTGTCGGTATGTTCCAGTCCGAACCTCATCTAGAGTGTACAGTAGACAACAGCAAAGGTTATTTATATGCTCTGTTGCTGGCAGATTCAAAATAATGTAACCCTAAATATTACCTTTGTAGACCATAGCTTCCAGAATGTTAGTGAGCAGGATTCTGGGAGATTTTGTCTAGAAAAGTAACTCTGCCAAGCAATAGCCAAAAGGAACAAATCTGTGATTGTCTTGCTGTTCTTTTTTATTATTATTTACTGAAATGCATTTTAGGGTAGTGTAAGAGTAGAGACATCAGACTTGCAACAAAGATCCGCCTAGTCAAAGCCATGGTATTCCCTGTATTAACCTACGGATGTGAGAGCTGGACCTTGGGGAAGGCTGAGCGAAGGAAGATCGATGCTTTTGAGCTGTGGTGTTGGAGGAAAGTGCTGAGAGTGCCTTGGACTGCGAGAAGATCCAGCCAGTCCATCCTCCAGGAAATAAAGCCCGACTGCTCACTGGAGGGAAAGATACTAGAGACAAAGTTGAAGTACTTTGGCCACATCATGAGGAGACAGCAAAGCCTAGAGAAGACAATTATGCTGGGGAAAGTGGAAGGCAAAAGGAAGAGGGGCCGACCAAGGGCAAGATGGATGGATGGCATCCTTGAAGTGACTGGACTGACCTTGAGGGAGCTGAGGGTGGTAATGGCCGACAGGGAGCTCTGGCGTAGGCTGGTCCATGAGGTCACGAAGAGTCGGAGACGACTGAACGAATGAACAACAACAACATATAAATACCTAAAACTGACAAAATATTAACTCATAAATCCTTTTAACCACACAGTAAAATTGTGTCGAATAAAACTATGCAACTGGCTGAAAGTGTAAAAATAAAATTTCTGTGGAAAGGTGATAGTTTTATGTATTGTCGAAGGCTTTCATGGTCGGAATCACTGGGTTGTTGTAGGTTTTTCAGGTTGTATGGCCATGTTCTAGAAGGCATCCTCAGAGGTTGTGAGGTCTGTTGGAAACTAGGAAAATTGGATTTATATATAAATTGAGTTTATATATCTGTGGAAGGTCCAGTGTGGGAGAAAGAACAGATATATAAACCGTGTTTTCCTAGCTTCCAACAGACCTCACAACCTCTGAGGATGCCTGCTACAGATGCAGGCGAAACGTCAGGAGAGAATGCTTCTGGAACAATATGGCCATACAGCCAGAAAAACTACAACAACCCGGTGATAGTTTTATCATGACATCAAAAGAAACAGAGTGTTGGCACCAAGCATCCTTATTCTTAGGAGAGCATTCAAAAGACAGGGCATCACCGAAAACACAGTAAACATCTGTATTGTTGAAGGTTTTCATGGCCAGAATGACAGGGTTGTTGTGAGTTTTCCAGGCTGTGTGGCCATGTTCCAGAAGTATTCTCTCCGTTTCACCTGCACCTATGGCAGGCATCCTCAGAGGTTGTGAGGTCTGTTGGAAACTCACCTCACAACCTCTGAGGATGCCTACCATTGACGCAGGCGAAACGTCAGGAGAAAATACTTCTGGAACATGGCCATACAGCCTGGAAAACTCACAACACAATTAACATAGCTACTGATTATTCTGTAATACAATGGAGCATTTAAGCGAGGCCTATACATATAGATCTCCGGTTCTTCACTTATTATAGCAACCGAAGTTTGCTAAATTTGGTTTATGGTGCATCATGTCTTTCATTTGAGGGAGTTCTCAATTTTAAATGCCCATCTTTCATGGAAAAATGCTCTAAAGACAGTTTTTTTCTGCAGGAACTTGATGCCATAGTTTTCTTTTGGTTCATTAATTGACTCATCCAAACTGACTGAGGCCAGCCCTATCATTTGGTAGGGTTGGAAGGCCTGCTTCAGCAGCAGCTCTGAGTATTCCACCAGAGTGGAGAAATGTATTAAATAATTGGTTTACTGATGTATTTTTACCACTGTAGCCAGTATCAAAATGTCTTGGGCCATATCTGGACATTCATACTGCCACTGTACAGTAAGAATATATTAAGATGTTTCTCATGACTAGATCAGACTCTGCTTCTGATATATGGTATTGTACTCACCAATCACAGTGGGCTCCAGATCCACAAAGACAGCCCGAGGCACATGCTTCCCAGCTCCAGTTTCACTGAAGAAAGTATTAAAGGAGTCGTCCCCACCACCAATAGTTTTGTCACTGGGCATTTGCCCATCTGGCTGAATGCCATGCTCCAGACAATACAGCTCCCAGCAGGCGTTACCAATTTGGACACCAGCTTGTCCTACGTGGATAGAAATGCACTCGCGCTGAGAAGAAAAGGGCAAAGCCATCAGTAGTGGGGAAGCCACAAGTCAGGAAGAATGAGATCAAGCTGGGAGTTGAGGCCGACTTCCATGCCTCGGAACCTACATGCTAAGCTTGCCCATTTGGTCACATACCATTTCAACAAAAAGGGCTATTCTGAAATCCTCCTTTTAAGAATGAAAGTCACATCCTCTAGACCTGTGCTGAGGTGCAAATCTCCAATTAGGGAAACATTTGGGGTGTGATGCTCTAAGGTTAGATTAGAAGCCTTAGTGAACTGCACAATTCACACACACTCCACACCCATATTCTATCCACCACAGCAGCCACCTTGAACCCCATGCCTTCCAGAAGTGCTAAACTCCAGTTTCCATATCTCCTTAGGGCCCTTCCATACATCCCTATATCCCAGAATATCGAGGTAGAAAATCCCACATTTTCTGCTTTGAATTATGATATATGGCAGTGTGGACTCAGGTAACCCAGTTCAAAGCAGATATTGTGGGATTTTTTGCCTTGATATTCTGGGATATAGGGCCATGTAGAAGGGCCCTTAGACAGCTATGCTGGGAAGACTTTGTTAATGAGCCCCTGGGCCCTTCCCCACAGCCATATAACCCAGAACATCATGGCAGAAAATTCCACAATATCTGCCTTGAACTGGATTATCTGAGTTCCCACTACCATATATTCCAGTTTAAAGCAGAAAATGTGGGATTTTATTCATCTGTGTGGAAGGTCTTTAGATCAGGGAATGCTGGACTGTACTATGTGTCTTTTTCAAAGCAGATTTGATGAAATTAGAAATTTTCCCAGTTGGAGATTTGGACCCAGCAAAGCTCTACAGAATGTGATTCTCAACTTCAAAGAAAGATATGGGAGGGAGATATGTAAATAGACTTCAGTATTCCATCAGTGAAAATTGGAATACATGGAGTCAAGCAATATCAGAGTGTGCTCAAAATGACAAACATTATTAATGAAGAAGAACCTCCAGTTCTTCCTCCTGCTGCATTAGTTGAGTGCAAACAATTTTTTTTAAACTTTGAACTCAGTTTGCAGCAACTGAAGCGAGCTGAGGACAAAGGGAAACTGTTTGAGGAGAAGAGAGAAACTGGCACATTTTACAATCACTGAAGAAGGAGGAACAAAGTACGATTAATTAGGGGTCCTTCCACACAGTCCTATATCCCAGAATATCAAGGCACAAAACCCCACATTATCTGAGTGAGGATCCAGTTCAAATCAGATATTGTGGGATTTTCTGCCTTGATATTCTGGGATATAGGGCTGGATGGAAGGACCCTAGGACTCTCCTTGCCAAATCAAGACCGTTGAGAGGTAAGGATATATTGTACATGAGTATACATGATAGGATTAATGCCCAGATTACCATAAGTGCATAGAATGTTTCACAACCAAACCTGCCCCCTAATATCTCAAAATTCCCCATTATCAAGAATTGTGGTGGAGGCCCTTTCCACACAGCTGAATAAAATCCCACATTATCTGCTTTGAACTGGAATATGTGGCAGTCTGGACTCAGATAACCCAGTTCAAAGCAGATATTGTGGGATTTCCTGCCTTGATATTCTGGGTTATATGGCCGTATGGAAGGGCCATGAGCCAGGAAGAAAGAGAAGCAATAGTGGCAGTAATCCGAGGCTAAGCAGACATCACTTCTAACAATCTCTTTGTCGCAGATAGTACTGATTTTCTTCCTTCCTCTTTTTATGTATCTTGCAGATTCCGAGCTACAATTTTGTGCACATCTAAGGCAATCTACATTCCTAAAGAGGGGCACAGTGATTAGCTTATATTGTATTTTAAGAAAGGGAAATGTGATGATCAATAGCATCTGGGACTGAATGTCCATCACTCCTCCAGGGGAACTATCAGGTCTGAGGAAGCAAGACTTACCATCTTGCAAAATGTCTTCAATCTGGCACTGATGAGCTCAGAGTCTGAAGGATAAGAATAAAAAATCTAGCTTGCAGCAGGTGGTTTTATAGCATTCCAGAGCCCATCTCCAAGGCAGGAGAGAAACTTTGTTGTTAGAGACAGACCTGGGCTAGTGTTGTTGATTTTCCCCCCTGAATGGTTTCTGGGTTACAGCCAGACTCATCAAACAACCACTAATGAACATGCAGAGCCAAGCTTGTGGGGACCTTAGTTACACCAAACAATTTGTTGCCAGGCTCTGGTGGCCATTTGGAAGAGGGACGTCGAGCAGATAGGATTCTCACAAGGTTCTTATTTGGTACAGAAAGTTTGTCCAGGCAAGCTGTGTGGCACAGCCAAGCCTAACCTTATTTATTACTGCATTTATATCTTGCCTCTCTTGCAATGAACCAAAGGTGGCAAGAGAGACAGCTTGGGTTCTTTGCTCCCTCTAAATGTATAACCCTGTGAAGTGCCTCAGACTGAGAGGACACCTGCTCAGGGGTCATACAGTGAGTTTTCATAGCTTAAGCCAGGCCTGAACAACCTGTGGCTCTCCAGGTATTTGGGCCTCTAACTTACAGAAGCCCTAGCCAACTTGGCCAATGGTCAGGAATTGTGGGAGCTGAAGTCCAGAACATCTGGAGGACCACATGTTGTCCAGGCCTGGTTTAAGTAAAGGCTTGAACTTGCATCTTCAAAGCATACCAATTATCTTTCAGAAGTATATTGAGTACAGCATTTTGTTTTATTTTTCCTTCACTCTGTTATTATGCTGGAGTGCTGCATATTAAAGGTAAAGGTTTCCCCTTGGCAATAAGTCTAGTCATGTTCAACTCTGGGGGTGGTGCTCATCTCCATTTCTAAACAGAAGAGCCGGCATTGTCCGTAGACGCCTCCAAGGTCATGTAGCTGGAATGACTGCATGGAGTGCCATTACCCTCCTGCAGGAGCGGTACCTATTGTTCTACTCACATTTGCATGTTTTCAAACTGCTAGGTTAGCAGAAGCTGGGGCTAATATCGAGCTCTTTTTGGGGGCCCCTCCAGGGAGGAGAGCCCAAGGACCGCACCAAAGAGGGTCCTGGATACCTTGGTGAGATTTCTTCCGGAAGCCAATCCAAGAGCGCCAAAAATAATTAAAATCAAATAAGCTCACCAGAGGCGAAAGGAGTCCAGCGATCGAGGCGTTTATTTGCGATTCAGCTGAATGGATGCGATACAGGAATCATTCCACTGCAAAGCATGCAGCACAAGAATTTCCAGGCATTTTTATACAGTGTAGAACAAAAGAAAGCAGTTTGAAAATCCCGCCCACCCCCCTGTCAGCCGGCTTCACGCTGATTGGCTGAGGCTGGAACAGCTGGGAGGAGGTAATCCCGCCCTCCCCCGTCAGGAGCCAATGGGAGCGTTTCTTCGCCTCGAGAGGGCCAATGGGCGCCCTCCCCTCGCTTCCTGGGTTCTGGCCAATCAGGAGCGAGGAGGCGGGACAGCCGCGGACAATGGGGGAAAGATGATGGGATTTGGGATTTCCTGCCCGCTGGAATGCGGGCCATTGTCCAAGGCGGGAAGAGGGTGATGTTTGTCAAACAAAGGCTTTCCTGTTCTTAATGAGTCTGGCGAGTGATATGAATAGCTGGATCGATACCGGACCGCCCGGAGGATCAACAGTATCTGGGTGATTTAATCAGTCCTTTCTTTCCGGGGCTCTGCTGACCAAACCCTCCTTCGTTGGCCTTGCTCCGATGACGAAATCGGGGGCCAGCAGCATTGTCCATGCAAGATGGGTCAATCAAAGGGTGATTTAGGGAAAAGAGGCTTGGGCTCTTTCCCCAGGCAGTTCCTGGTCACGCCGGTTTTTGGGGTAAGGGGTCAAGGAGGTAAAGGTACAGGGGAGTTCATAGGGATACATATTTCATATTCATAACACACAGGCATCACCAATATACAGGCATTTCATATATCACAACCCACCACCCATCCCAACCCCAATCCATTACAATAAGAAAATATTTTATTTATTTCATAAAGAAGAAAAAAGGGAAAAAAACTAGAAGTCCAAAAGTCCGGACGGAGGGGTTTGGATGCAGGGGCCAGCCCATGGTTCAGGCTGGCCATCAGAAGGTCAGTTCATTTTGTTAAACAGGAGCTGGAGCTGAAGGGGGAGCTATGTTCCACGGTCCCGTCCTTGGTGGAACTAGCGCTCCCAACCGGGGATCGGGCCTCCCTGCCCGATCCCCACTTCCAAGGCTTCCCCTTGGACAATCGGCGGTGGATCCCAGGCGGCTGGAGCCATGCTGGAGCGAGCGGCAGCGAGCGGAATGAAGCTAGCGGCAAAAGCCGGCGAAATTTTGACAATCAGCTGGTGACTCGGCCGAATTTAATGATTAAACAAAAACAATTATTTCACGAGTGCAGAAGTCCAAAATGAGAAAACCAAGATAGCAGTTAGTCTTAGAAGTTAATGTAGAAAAATATAAAATTTGAACGGGCCCGATCCGCCATGTTGTTGTTTTGGCGGATAAGGGGGGCCAATAGGAAAATCTCCGTATCCGCGATTTGAACTAACGCAAATTCGGAGGCCTGGGGAGGCCAGGAAGGCATCCCCAGTGAGCTCACGGTTCCCCGGAGCTCAGAAAAAGGTTTATTGTGAGTTAGAAAAGTTGCAGTCAGTAAAGGGACACAAAGTATCAAGCGGAAAGGATTTAAAGTTTCAAAACTTAAGTGTTTTATTGAGGGATTTGTTACAAAGAGAGGGAGAGGGGAAAGTGAAAGAAAAAGGCTTCATGCAGTCCTTGGCTTTGAGCTGCTGGCTGGGGCACATTTCATCAGTCGGACCCAACTTTGCTCTACGGAACTGCGGAACTCCCTGCTGCGGTTCAAACCAACTTGAAGGCGGGAGATTCTGCTACTTGGGGGTCATCATTTCCCCACTCGGAGACTGAAAGAGGCGGAGCCTCTGCATAGTCTCCGCCCAAGCATTGTACCCAGTCAGGGGCAGCAGGGCCATCTGACGAGATGGATCAGAACGCTTTCCCTTTTTGCAAATTTGGAACAGAGCGGGAACATGAGACCAGCAGCAGCTCAAAACCAAGAGAGAGACTAGGAGACCCAAGAAAACTAGAAAGCCTTTTCTGAGCCAATCTAGAGAAGGAAGCCAGTCTGTCAAAAAGCTGAGGTCGAAGCCAACGGTCTCTTTAATGCCCGCTGCCAAATCATTCATTCCCCCTATGGCCTTCCGGACTACAGGGGTCTGGTCAGTCAGATTAAAACAGCACATGTGGCGCACACTCTCACAGCCAACAACAAAAAATCTATGGCAGCACGATTATCCAGCACAGCTTCCCTTAGCTCATGCATTTCAGTGGCTATGGAAGCCAGGGCTTGTGAGGTGTAATTTATATTCTTGACCAGAGCGCAGGCCAGATGTTTAATGGCCCTGTAGTTCATGCCAGCTGCCACCCCAGGGGTGAACAAGGCAGTTGCTACAAATTGAGGAATGCCCTTGATGACCACAGAGGGATCACAATTTGGGTCCAAGTTTTGGATGGACCTAGCCTCCTTGGCCAGGGAATGTGCCAGTTCCAGGTCACTTTTGGAAGGCATGAAAACCGACAGCTTACCCAAGGCGCAATTCCCTATGGAGGAATTGGCTGGGAGGTAACTATAGGCTGTCTGCCCACATAGGAAAAACCATCCTGGGGGCAAAACCAAATGGGCATTCATGTGAGGCAAGGTCTCTATGGAAGAGCAATTTAGAGAATTGTCCTGAGTCAATTTCTGGCACTTCCCCACACACTTGGGAACTTTGAAGCAGTGGGGGGCATGGGGGCTATGTGCCAATTTGATAGCCACCATACCTGGTTCCCTTTCCCGGGACGCCCTGCCCCATACAGACAAATCTCTATAGGACATAGACTTGGAAGGGATATGCTGAAAAATGGTATAATTTCGAAAAGTTTCCAGAGGTTCTGGAATTCCAATCAGGCATGTTGAGAACAAATCTGTGGCGGTTGCCCCACTTGACAGACAGAAATCAGAAACATTAAGAATCCTAGATGCCAATTGTTGCCAAAAGTTGGCCTTTGTAGACAACCAATCCTCAATAACAGGGCCAGTGGCTATGTATTGAGGAAAAGAAACCATGCAGAAAATTAGAAAGAAATACATGCTGAAACTTTGGACAGCGACACTCGTAATAAATTGACTCACCGCTAGATGGCGCTGGTGTGGACAGCCCTTTGCTCTGCCGGCTTGCAGTGAAAAGTGAAACCAAGGTCAGATCGAGGTGAGGAAGGCAGCTGTCAGAATCAGCTGGGGAGCGTTTTGACAGACGTCAAGAGCTGTCAAAGGAGCTGTCAAAACCCGGAAGTGATGAAAAAATGGTTTCCCGTGGTGCCAGGACTACGAAATTTGGTGGGGATCTCCAGGGGGCTCTCTCTGCCCTAACGCATGATGTTTTCTCCGTCTAGAGGCCCTAGAAGAGGGTGGGTCGGCTGGATCTCCCGGAGGGGGGTCTCCTGAAGGGGCTTTTCGAAACAAAAGCCTCAGATCCTCCACTGGCTCAACCTCCCACTGCTCGCCGGCTTCTTCTTCCTCAGCTGGCCCCACTTCTGGCTCTGGGGCCAACTTCAGCCGGGAATGATGGATCCAGGCACGGATGCCTTTGACTTTTGCAGCAGTGTGGGTAGTGAGGAGGATCTGGTGAGGTCCGACCCACCTCTCCGTCAATGCCTCAGGTCTGTAGGTTCTCACGAGGACCCAATCCCCAATGGAGAAGTTGTGCACAGGAGCATCCAAAGGGATAGGAAGACGAGACAGCAGGTACCTATTTAGAGAAGAAAGGATAGAAGTAAGAAATGACAGCCTTTGCCTAATACTTTCGGATCCCACCTCATGCAGGTGATCAGCTTTCAGAGGAACCTGAGAAGAAGGAAAAGGCCTACCATAGAGGATCTCAAAGGGGCTTAGCTTTAACTTTCCCCTGGGAGCAGCCCTAACTCGAGTGAGAGCAAGTGGGAGGGCATCTGGCCAAGACAAGCTCGCCTGCTGACAGATCTTAGCCAACTGTCTCTTGATGGTTTGATTCATTCTCTCAACCTTTCCACTAGCCT